TAATCTGCATCTATGTATCTCTGAACTGAAATATCATCATGTTGTCTCTCAAACACCCAATTCCATTGGCATATGGCACCTTTGACATCTCTACAATTTCTTTTTCATTCTTTGGGCACTAATTAGAAAAGAATCTGAAGTGATTTGTCAATGGTGTACACATTGGTGTTGCAACAGATATACTAAATCTCTTAAACACTTTCTTCAAATAAGTTTTCTAAGACATCTATAATTTTCGATCTTTCTATCTCTGTTAATCTCCATACCCAATATCTTTTTAGCATGTTCAAAGTCTTTCATATCAAACTTACTACTTAACAAGGACTTCAATCTGTCTACCTCATTTACGTTCTTAGCAGCAATTAGTGTATCATTCATATACAACATCAAGAAAAGATATAAATCATCCCCAAGAACTCTATAGTAAATACAACAATCATATTCACATCGACTATAGCCAATCTAAATCATGTGGGAGTCGAACTTCTTGTACCATTGCCGTGGAGATTGCTTAAAGACTTCTTCAATTTACACATAAGATCTCTATTCCTAATTCTACGAACCCCTATGGTTGCTCCATAAAAAATTGTTCATCTAAATCACCATGAATGAGAGCGGTCTTTGCATCCAGCTACTCAACTCCAAATCAAACCTGGCCACCATTTCTAAAACGGTCTCGATGGAAGTATGTCTATTTCATCATAGTCTACTTCTTCCTATATGAATATTATCCAATAACCGAGCATTGTATCTTTCCCCTTCTTTTCTGACATTGCTTCTTTATTTCTATACACCCACTTATACCCTATCGATCTCTTCCCCTCTAGAAGCTCCACCAAATCTCAGGTACCATTCTTATATAATGATTCAATTTCCTTCATCAGAGAATCCATCCATTTACTTTTTTCCTAACTACTAAAGCCATCCTGAAAAGTTATAAGATCGCTATTACTGGTAATGAGTGCATAAGAAACTGAATCCTCGAATCCGTACTTCGCGGATGGCCTGATAGTGGAACATGGTCTATATGTGACAATACTATGATACTGTTCATCTTCTAAGCCAAAATTGTTTGCTCCTTAAGCATTGATCTCCATGTCAACATTGTGTAGCTCTATCTACACTACTTGGCTCTTACTGCTGTCTTCGCGTGAACTGAGCTTCATCTAGAGAAGCTTTAAGCATGAATACTTTATCGAAAGACTGCATCCCTATCAATCACCATTTTTTTTTACCTCTGGATTGCAAAACTTGTACCCTTTTGCATCTTTCACATAGCTTATAAACATACACTTTCTTGATTTTGGTAAGCCAGACACCCAAATACTCTCAATCTAGAATAATCAGCATCATTACTTGTCCAATCTTCCTCTGCAACTTTCCCATCTAGCGCTGCATGTGGTAATCTGTTTATGACATAACATGTCATGTTCACCGTTTCTACCCAAAAACTCTTCGAAAGCCCTGTATTCAACCTCAAACATCTTGCCTGTTCTGTAATTGTTTTGTTCATCCTCTTCGCTACATCACCCTGTTGCAGTGTTTTGCGAACTGTATAAAGCCACTGAATACCATGTTCATCACAGAATTTTAAAAAACATTGAATATGTTTACTCGGTGCCATTATTTGTCCTGAGGTGCTTAATTTTCCTGCCCATTTGGTTCTCTGCCTCTAATTTCCACAATCTGAACTTGGCAAAGGTTTCAGACTTATTCTTCTTGAAATACAACTTAGACGTTTTTAGAGAAGTCATCAATGAAAGTAATGAAATACTGAGATCAACCTTTAGACAACTCTCTTACTGGTCCCCAAATATCAGAATGCCCTATGTCTTGTGCTTTCCCTTCTTAACTGTGCTCTGGACTATTTCCCAAGTACAAAAACTTGTAGAAATCTAACTTGCATGATTTTACTCCCTTCAACAAATTCTTCTTGTAAACCTCAATCATATCATGTTCTCCTATATGTCACAGTCGCATATGCCACAAGAGAGTGTCATCTGACTTAGATTCTACTATAGCAACTCAACCTACAACTGTATTCCCGAATAGTTTGTAAGTATTCCCTGCCAATTTCTGACTCTTTATGTCAATCATAGCCCCTTTTCATTGTCAAGACCCTACACTTTGATTTATAAGAATAGCCATTGGTGTCTAAAGTGCCCAAAAAAATTAGGTCTCGACTGTGGTACATGCCTAACATTCTCCAATATCCCCATCACACCATCGAACATTTTTTTATTTAGGGTCCATATTCAAATGACCTTACATGATGTATCATTACCCATCAGAACAGATCCAAAATTACTCGAACGATATGAATCAAACCAATCCCCGATGGGACATATGTGATATGAACATGCTGATACAATTTAAAGTTAAAAAATACATAACTTACATGTTGACAAAATTAAATTGCCTACAATGGATAATGACTACAGCACTTGAAGCGTGTGTTTAGTTAATTCACACGGAAGTCACTAGAGCTATACACGATTTTGTAACAACGATTCTCAACATACATTCGTTATTCAATATTTTGTTCCCTTAATTATATATTGTTGCAAGAGTGCTTATGTCCTACTCTTATCAGACACACAAGAAGTCAAGAATCAACATTAAAATCTCCTCTCATCATCATCATCATTACTATTATTATTTCGTACAATGTTATTGTTCGAATATATGAACACGTGATATCCTTTTTGAGTTCGATCAGACTTCTTTGATTTGATGTCCTAGGATCGTTTGATCTTTCAATTTTAGTAATTGGCCTGCTATTCGGTTGAAGATGACAATTAACTAACTGTAGTGATTTGTGGGTTAATCTGAACACAAGGCAGTTTTATTAGTTCATTGAGTTCTATCATATTTCTTTTCTTTGACTTTCTAGGGTCTACTTAATAATAGGCTAAATTGAACTCTTTTGATATCTAATGATGATATGAGGTGTCATGCATATATTCTTCGTTTCGCTACATAACTATACACGTTTCTCTTCTCTCATTTTCTCTCTCAAACAACTGAGTACTCGAGAAACCCTATGTTGGGTTTTGATACTCAATAAATGGGCTTGGGCCCTGAGTAATTGCTCTCAATAATTCCCTACACCCTACCCATATATATGGTTCTTCTTCATTTTCTTCTGTTTTTTTCTCTTTGGTAAATTATATTATTTTTGTTCTAGAGGAGAATCTATGCAATGTCTTTTTCCCTTACGAATAAACACTCTAATTTAATTGACAAATATTTTGAGTGTAGTTAATTTCACATACAAGTGATTCTAGTAAATTATATAATTGTTTGTTCTAGAAGAGAATCTATGCAACTCTCTAATTTAATTGACAAATATTAAAATGATGTCAATGGAAGTTGGAATCTCATTTTTTGTGTTTTAAACTGAAGGAATGCTGGCCTAAATTTTGAGATATTGTGCTTTATTCCCTACTCCATTCATTTTCACCTACTATGGATTAAGAGGAATTCGTGCTCGTATATATAATCCGTTACTAACATATTATACAAAGGATGCATCATCAAATAATTCGTACTATATAACTCGATTAGGATAAAGGTATGATTTTCAAATCAAATCTATTTTAGCAAAAATCATGCTACACAAACGTGATTGCTGACATAATTTTTAACATGATGCTACATGTGATTAAAATATAGTCAACTTTTTCATCTATAACTCGATTATGGTAAAGGTATGATTGTCGAATCAATTCTATGTTAGTAAAAATCATGCTACAAAAACCTAATCGCTGATATAATCTTTAATATAATGCTATATAACAATCTATCAATTTGACTATTTAAAATGCAGTCAACTTTTTCATCTATAACTCGATTAGGGTAAAGGTATGATCGTCGAATCAATTCTATGTTAGTAAAAAATCATGCTACACAAACATAATTGCTGACATAATCTTTAACCTAATGCTACATGACAGTCCATGTTAAAATACAGCCAATTTTTTCATCAAATCACATCATGTCAACGCATATTATGTTATTCTCTTTGTCATATATTTTCTAGCACATAAGCATTATTCATTTACTAAATGTCATCACTGATGTGCATAAATTGCCCCGAAAGTGTACCAATTGATATGATGGATGTTTTATTCATTCGACACTATTGTTGTGGCATGTTACATCGAAATCAAATTAATATTATATATGGTAAAAAAGACTCATACAAGCTGCAACTTGTTCTCTACTTGCAAGCATTGGCTGTCTACAACTGTCAAACGACACTAGTAAGCCATAGTCGATTCCTTCACATAATTAGTTTTGACGGGCATAAATGTCTTTTAAAACTACCTTTACCTGCAACACTTCGTGCATAATTTTCAATGACAAATTTTCGCCGCTTAAACCTTCAACTGTGCTACACAAACATGCTTAAAGACAAGTTCAAAAATGGGGAGACATATGTCGACACATGATTGGACAATTTGAAAATAAATAAATAAATAAACAAACACCCAAACAAGTACTGCCAACTCAGTGTGTCCATCTTTTCCAATTATTCTTATTCTTATACCTTTATTGGTGTGCGTTTGTTTTTGCTTCAGCCATTAATTTTGGTCCAAAAAATAAAGGATTAGCTGATGCACATGTTCTTCGTTGATAAATTATTACAAATAAAAAATAAAGAAGATTGAAATAAATTTGAGAGACGCGTGCATTATTTATTATTATTATTATTATTATTATTATTATTATTATTGAGAACTATGTCGGTATTTACTAACGATGATAGTCTACAATTGAATTTATCAGAAAAAAAAACCGATAGAGAGAAAAAGTGTACCAGAAAGATAAATTTTCAATAAAACCCTCAAATTTCTTTACATATTATAACTAACACATAACACAAAAGGTTGCAAACTCCATTATTTACAAGGACTGAAAAAGGTCGTGGTTCATCCTTTTTCATGTCAACTATATTTTACTTCTACTCTCTGCTTTTTCTCTCCTCTCCAATTGGTTTAAGCTTTTGGCACTTCCATGGATATCATTGGAGGAACTGGCATTGGAGCACTGATGGCTACGGCTGGAACATACATTTTTTCGTCTTCATTTTTCTGCATTTCTATAACATTATTTGCTTCGATATCTTTAATCACCATTATGTTTTGGTTATTTCCGGCGCCTCCTGATTTTACTGGTTCCAGAATTTCTTCAGCTTCTTTCTCCTTGTACTCCTTGTATTTGCCCCATAGCACGGAGTAAAGTCCGATCACAATCAACACTGCCCCAAGAACACTGAACCACAATAAACGAAAACAAAAAAAGTTAAATGATTGATCAGAATCAAGTAATTACACCATCATATTCTATTAATTTTAATTTCTTTTAAAATTATAATTAAGGACGAGAAAATTACCCGCCAACATATATTTTTTCGGCAAGGATGAAAGAGCCCATGATTGCTACAATGATCATCATCAATGGACTGAATGCAGTCACGAAAACCGGCCCTCTTTTTTGCATGACGAGTCCTTGTACATAGTACGCAATGCTTGACGAAACAATACCCTACAATAGGAAAAAAAAAAAGAAACGATAACGTGCTTTTAATGTGCATACTGAATTCATTTCTATTAAAAGCTTTACATATGCACAATTTTGTTTAATTAGTAACGGAAGATTTTCGACTCGACTCACAGCATAGGCAGCAGCTAGCAAGTTCATGTCCCACCCAATGGTCCAAACAGATGATTTGCGCTCCATTACAAAGGTGACAGCTATAGATTGCAATGTTCCCAAGAAGCACACAAGGGTTGTTAGGGAAAGATGGGCTGTGTATTTCCTCATAGTGATAGCCTGTTACAAAAATCGAAGAAATTCTTATTTTAATTTATTTTCTTGCCCCAAGATTTAAAAATAAAAATTGAAAAAGAAAAAAAAAAGTGCAAACTACCTGCAGGATGAAGAAAGAAGCCCAGGCAAGGGTGGCAATAATAAGAAGAATTGAGCCTTTAAGCCAGTCCTTGTCAGTGGCTCCAACTGTGCCAGGAACATTGGTTTCCTTAGGATGTATGTACTTGGACCATACCATGTTTAATACATCACCTTTGTACAGTGTCATAAGCATGGCTCCAGCCACTGTCACTATTGTTCCCACCACCTTTGCTTGGCACCTGACCTTCTTTATGTTGACCTTCTCCATTCTGCACCAAAAGCGTGTCATACCATAGGCAAAATTCTTTTTAACTCTTTTTCTTTTTTAACCCTTTTCAGTCGCGTACTAAAGATACCGTTTGTGATTCAGCGTCTTTAGTATTTTGACTTCTAGGGTCAGTAAACAAAATTTAACTCTTTCATTTAATTATTTTTAGTAAAGTCTAGTCTGACGTACTAAAGATGAAGTCCGTGTGCTAATGCAACAATTTTAGGGTAAAAAGTCAACAATTAAATTTAGTTACATATTTCATGAGATTCACAACTTTTATCAGCTTTTCAAATACATATTTCATCATCTTTTATCAAAATCTGTTAAAGTTTTATACAAAAAAAAAGTTTGTCAAACAACCCTTTAAGTGTACCTGCAGAGGACTGCCATGACAAATGTCATTGCAGGAAGCATATTGCTCATTGCACATGAGAAAGTAGGGGAAGTAAATTTAAGTCCAGCATAGTAGAAGTTCTGATCAATAACTGGCCTGTAAAGAAATTCAAATTTGAAAAATAAACTTTATTACATTTTTCTATAACTGAAAATTATTGACACAACTTAAAATATATGTGCTAACCCAAGAAGTCCCAACGCAAATAGCTGCAGGAAAATTGGAAATGTTATCTTCGGCCTCACTTTCCTGTGGATAACAGACAGATAATAATGAACTGTACAATACTGGACAGTATAACCGAAGAACCAAATCTCAGAATCTTAAAATCTTAAAAAATGGTTACCGTTCAAGAACGAGGGCAAAGGGCGCAATAACTGCAGTGGCAAAGGCATGTCTATAGACCACAAGCACATAGTGACTCATGCCTCTGTTAAGTGAAACTTTGGTAATTATATTCATTCCAGCATAGCCAAATTGTAAGGACATCATGGCTATGTATGGCTTAGCCGTTTCGAAAAATCTACCAAGGCCTCCTTTCCCTTCCATTTTTGAGGAGGAGAAATGAAGAAAAGCAAGAGTGTGAGATGGGGTGTGTGAAAAGAAGAAGTATCAGAGGAAAACACAGATGAATTGGTGTTTGTCCTAGGAAATTTTTGTCAGTGAACTAGAATATTTATAAGCACTTCAAGCGTGTGAGAATCTCATCTTATACGTGTGACTTTACAGTAGCCATTAGCATCTGCATCTTGATATTCTGATTCGTTGTGTTATCCATGAACGGGTTACGTGAAAACCACGTGGGTTCAATCCAGAATTTTTAATCTTGATTGGAATCCATCTGTATTTCTTTTTCTTCATAATGACCAAGTGATTTGAGAGACATGCCAAACAAAGTGAGTTTATAGTGCTGTGCTGACGCAGTTAAGGGACCCTAGGTTTTGTGGGGTTTGTGAAGAGTGGGATCCTTTTTAAGAATTATTCTAGTTGTACATCAAGAATTGTACATAAGGGTCTGCACCCCCCTCACATGAGGAGTGGGACCCATTGAAATAATATTTTTTTATTCGAGCGGGTCCCACCCCCCATGTGAGAGGGGTGTAGACCCTTATGTATGGGGTGATGTACCCCTAGCAATGCTCCCTTTTTAAATATTCGTCGGTCAAAATATCAGCATCGCCAGATTTAAGCCCATTGCATAAAGGACATGGGGCTGTTCCGTAAGCCGTTTGTGTCCCACAGGTCAATATAAAGTTAAATAAATTTAAAGTTTAAATGGTGGGTTAATTAACTGCCTAGATAAGTTCTCATTTGGTTATTGGAGGGAAGTTATTGCACGAAAAAAAATCACCAACTTCCATGATGTATGGAAGCTGTAGTGGTTGTCTTTATGTATATGCCAAGGTTCCCTAGCCAAACCCGTTATAAATCCCTGCAAATTTTCTCTTAATATTGAAACTCATGTGTATTTCCATCAAGTTAAAGGGATTATTAAGTGGGTATTGGTTAGAAAATGTTTGGTGCTTAAAAGACTTATTTCTACTGTAGACCTTTCAATTAGATCTTGTATAACAAGACTGCAGGTATATAATTTATGTCTTACATGTGGTATCAGAGCCACCTTCATGCTTGGTTATTCAGATTCTAAAGAAATAAAGAATCTTAAATTGCATTACCAATGTTATATATGTTGGAATTAATATGCATGACCATGTGCACATGGATACATACTGTTTTACTTTGGTTTCATATGCCCTAATCCAAATACTTGCAGGAGTACAATAGTATATGGAGGCAATTAATACTTTATTGAAGCGGTATGTGTTTTAACGAAATTATTTGAAAATGCAAATGTTTGAGTTTCCCATTAAATACACCCACCAGATCGGATTTCCTGACCGCTGCTTCATCTGGGAGTTCAATTTCTCAGATTTTTCAGATCGAGCTCCTTACTGGATCGTCTGTCAATCTTGGTGATAAGCTGAGCAAACTTCACAGCAATATGGGAGGTATGGCAGTCGAGAACTGGGGCATACCCATTTCCGATTTGTCCAGGGTGGTTCATAATAATGACCTGTGAGCAGCGTTCGACGCTGCTGTGAATCGGCAGCAGCGTCGACGCTCCGACAGGGGGTGGGAGGGAGGATGTCCGACAGGGGGTGGAAGGAGGAGGAGAAGGGGGAGTAGGAGCAGGCGGCGGTGAGAGAGAGAGAGAGACGATGGGGGGAGTGTGTGGGATGAATTGAGAAATTAGGTTTTAAATGATTAATTATTCAATTAAAATATAAAACAATTTTTTTTTTAAGATAAGAAATTTTTTTAAGATAAGAAACCTGAAAAGTAAAAAAAAAGGGTAAAAATCTAACTTTTTAAAATGTGAAAGAAAAGGCATGGTTTCATGTAATTTTCCCTTTAAATATTCGTCGGTCAGAATATCAGCATCGCCAGATTTAAGCCCATTGCATAAAGGACATGGGGCTGTTCCGTAAGCCGTTTGTGTCCCACAGGTCAATATAAAGTTAAATAAATTTAAAGTTTAAATGGTGGGTTAATTAACTGTCTAGATAAGTTCTCATTTGGTTATTGGAGGGAAGTTATTGCACAAAAAAAATCACCAACTTCCATGATGTATGGAAGCTATGGTGGTTGTCTTTATGTATATGCCAAGGTTCCCTAGCCAAACCCGTTATAAATCCCTGCAAATTTTCTCTTAATATCGAAACTCCTGTGTATTTCCATCAAGTTAAAGGGGTTATTAAGTGGGTATTGGTTAGAAAATATTTGGTGCTTAAAAGACTTATTTCCACTGCAGACCTTTCAATTAGATCTTGTATAACAAGACTGCAGGTATATAATTTATGTCTTACATGTGGTATCAGAGCCACCTTCATGCTTGGTTATTCAGATTCTAAAGAAAAAAAGAATCTTAAATTGCATTACCAATGTTATATATGTTGTTCTTCAGTTTTTTGTGCATGAAAATCATTGTTTAGAATCAATATGCATGACCATGTGCACATGGATACATACTGTTTTACTTTGGTTTCATATGCACTAATCCAAATACTTGCAGGAGTACAATAGTATATGGAGGCAATTAATACTTTATTGAAGCGGCATGTGTTTAACGAAATTATTTGAAAATACAAATGTTTGAGTTTCCCATTAAATGGTTAGTTTGCTAATGGGTTTGTAAAGTTCATGTGAACTGCAAATCAATTTTTCTACCACTGTACAAATTCAAACTTGTAACAGGAATATTTGAGATGTCATTTGTTTCGACATGTTATTATAACTTAAGATTAGCCAAAAGCTTCTTTAGTTATAATTTTATGGCATGGAACATCAAATCACATAAGGAATTATTTTGGTGATTCATACGACATCTCATAAAGAGCAGTTAATTCATATGATGATTATTTGGCCACACAGGGAAATAGTTATCTTAACGATCTAGTTGCAATAAAGTGATTATTAAATATCGAAACAAGAAATTTCCTAGGCCCACAAATATGGAAAATACTTGTATTTGATATTACTAAAGTCCTTGTAAATTCAATGTGTGATAATAACCTCTACCCACATGAAGGTTTGAATTTACAAATTGAATTAGCATTGGTTAATTCAATATAAAGATAGTTTTCATAGAATTAATATGTGTTTATCTTATGCAGTAGTTCCTAATTTTTTTTCAATAACTCTATTTGAATTCCAATTCTATGTGGTTATAATTTTTTCTGACTGGAAAGAGAAAATTCTCCTTACTTTGGGATGTATGAATCTTGACTTGGCATTCTGTGTGGATGAACCACTTGTCCCTACAGAAGCAAGTACGCCAGAAGAGAGGTCACTATATGAATCGTGAGAAATATCTAATCGCTTGGGCGTGAGTCTCATGAAGACTCATGTTAGTAAAAGCATTGGGGGATCAATCCCTCAATGAAATAAGGCCAAGGAAGAGCAATTTGTTAGTTCTGACAAAATGTTGGCCAGCAACTTTATGAAAAGGCTTTCAGGTATGAAGTTTGACAATTCTAAAGGTGTGCATGAGTACATAATGGAAATAAGAGATATTGTTGCTCGTCTTATATCCCTGGAGATAGAGATTTCTGAATCATTCCTTGTTCATCTCATTTTGAACTCTCTCCCTACGGAGTACGGTCCATTCAAAATATCATATAACACACATAAGAAAAAATGGATTGTAAATGAAATCCTGACAATGTGTGTTCAAGAGGAAGAGAGGTTGAAACATGAGAAGTTGGAAACTGCTTATCTGAAAACTCGTGATAAAGGAAATAAGAACAAAGGTAATTACGGTCCTAAAATGAAGAATAATATACCAATAAAGCAACAGGGCAATAAGGATATCTGTTTCTTTAACAAAAAGAAAGGGCATATAAAGAAAGACTATTTCAAGTATAAGAATTGACTCGAAAATAAATGTACAAACATCTCTTTAGTGTGTCGTGTATCTCTTTTGGTTAATGTTCTAAACAATACGTGGTGGATTGATTCATGTACTACAATTCACATTGTCAATACTATGCAGGACTTTCTGGACTTAAGGAAACCACAACAAAATGAACAAAGAGTCTATTCTGAAATCCAGTTGAGTTCAATCGTTGAAAGAGTGCGAACTTTTAAATTAGTTTTAAATTCCGATTTTTATTTGGATCTTAAAAACACCTTCTATATTCCTGACTTTTTTTGTAATCTAGTTTCTATTTCAAGACTAGCACATTTGAGTTTCTAGTTTGCATTCGAAAATAGAAACTTTAGTTTATCTCAAAAGATGTTATTGTTGGACATTGTGTTTTTGTTGATAATTTATATAAATTTGTTTTGGATCCCACTTATGAGTGTAACTTAGCTGATCTGTATGGTGATAGTATTGGCAACAAGCGTTGTATTGTTAAAGAAAACTCCTCTAAGTTATGACACAGGAGATTGGAACATATCTCCATAGAAAGACTTGAAAGATTAGTAAATGATGGAGTTTTATCAACTCTTGACTTTACTGATTTTGGGACTTATATTGACTGTATAAAGGGAAAGCAGACAAACAAGACCACTGAAGGTGTCAAAAGGAGTTCGGACATTGTTGTGATTATTCACACAAATATTTGTGGACCTTTTTCTACTCCTTGTCTAAAAGGCTAAAGATATTTTATCTCATTCATAAATGACCATTCAAAATATATGTATCTCTATCTTCTAAATCATAAGGATGAGGCACTAGAACCTTTCAAGATTTATAAAGTAGAAGTAGAGAAAAAAGGAAAGAAAAATAAAAATTATAAAGTCAAACAAGGGTGGATAATATTCTGGACGGTATACAGAAAGGGAACAAATGCCACGTTCGTTTGTTAAGTTTTAAATAGATAAAGATATCGTAACACAATGTACGATACCAGCCACACATCAACAAAATGGTGTGTCTAAAAGAAGAAATAGGACCTTAATGGATATGGTTAGAAGTATAACGACTGATTCAAGTCTTTCTTTGCATTTATGGAGTGAAACCTTAAAACTGTTATGTATATCTT